TCTCTCTCTCTATGGTCCTCTGTAACACAAGCTCAATGACTACCTACCCTTGGGATTGAGGCAGACCTGCCTGGGCATCCTGATTCTTCCTAACCTCTAAGCCAGAACAAGTTTAGACCAGAAACCAAAAAATTAGCATCTACTACAGACTGTTATGTAGTGATCTCAGTGATGCTTTCGGCCATGTGTTCCACATAGATGAGCCTTGACATTCATCCCCATCAGAGTGGCATCCTTCACTGCATGGAGACATAGACGTTGTCTGCCTGTCATGTGCACCTGACAACCCTTTAGACAATTATCCCACCAGGACAAGCAAGCAGAAACCCTATCGCCAAGACATAGCTGTAAGGTCAATAAGGCTGGCAAGGTTTGACCACTGTACCCAGTGGTACGTGGGTACAAAGTTTTAAAAGTGCTGACCCAAACTCTGACCACTGTGTCCTAGGCTAGGTAAGGCCCACTTACTTCAAAAGTGGAGCAAATTCTCTGCATTCCATCGATGTGGTACACATTTTCCTCCAGCTTGCTGTCACTTTCCTGTTAGGAGACAAATATAGTTCTGATAAAAACTCCCTGCAGTGAAGCCCCTTCACAAACACATAAACTAGACCAGCATGTAGTGGAACTGTGTCTTTTCTGATGGGCTGGACACAGGGATACTTGAAGGCTGCAAATACAACAGCAGGGAAGAGGGGAGAGGAAGGAGAGGAAGGAGCTCCCTTTCCTTCATGTGGGGAAACATTTCACTAGGACCACACACCCTAAGGGTAGACAGATTAATGAGGACTGCTAGTTATTCCCCCTGCAGACTGGTCCACAGGGTGTGCACAGTCATGGGTAGCTTGTACCTGGTTCTGGCTCATGACCCCCTCAGACAAGGATGCTGTGAAACACCAGCCCTGAACCATATTTCCCTGATAATGAAGGTTTCCTGGAGAGAATCCTGTGGTAGTTGGCTTACCTCCTCCTGTGCTGGACAGAGACCCTCTATGCTGGGGAAGTGGGCACACTGCCATCTGGACTTCCTGCAGAGCTCCTACTTCTGCTGTCTCAGGCCACACCTCAGATCGCCACCCAGTGTCTCCTGATGTATAGAGCTCATCACTTTAAAGAGAAAGGACATGTGAAAGGGACTCTATGGGAACTGGAAATATGCAGCACTTAAGCTAGACCTACTGTGCATCCCTCTCCTCATGGCTCCCCTGCTCTCTCTTATCCTATCCAAATTCCTCCCTTAATCAATTCTTCCTGCTGACTCTGCCATCTCTGGGTTTCATCTTCTGCTCTCCATCTCCAGATCAACACTGTCTCTTTGTTTAGAAGCAGGTTTGTACTGTGGCTCTGGTGATTTTGAAGTCAGGGTTTTAAATTTGTATAAACACACAGTGAAACAAGTTAATGTGCCAATTGCAAAGGACAGACGACAGTATCAAATACAAAATTAGTGTAGTAGAAACACGAGGTCTATCAAATACAAAACTAGTGGAGTAGAAACACGAGGTCTATCAAATACAAAACTAGTGTAGCAGAAACCCAGGGCCTGGAAGCAGACCAGTGACTGTGCAATGAGCACTAACAGGTGAAGATCTGTGGACAGAGGTCACAGTGTGACTCTCTCTGTCACACTTGGTCACTGCAACTTCCATCAGGTGATCTTTATGTCTCCTCCTTTTAATATAATCTTACTTTTTTCTTTTTTGTCTTAAATTTTGTTTTATTGGTGCAGGTTTATTAATGGAGGGAGGATGTGAAGTACTGGGGACATGAATGTGATCAAGATATGGGATATAAAAGACATAGAATGAATCCATAAATGAATAATGAGTAAATAAATAGAGAAATAATAAGTAATAGAGGAAGAGCATACAGGGCAAGAGCACA